AAACGGTTCCACATGTTCACCACTCGCCGCTCAAGACACAAGGGATGAGCTACCCACTTGAGGTCAGGGACTACCAGTTTGTATTGGTGACCTCGTGTGCTGCTTGACGCACGGACATGGAGCAGTGGCCTCAACATCGGATAAGCACCCAGATGCAATACCCGATGGGTCATGATGAGGTCCACTCGCACGCGGCGGTAGGCTAAAGTATACAGACCCAATTGTCTGCATCTTTCCTCATACGGCACACCCTGAAGACCGGGAATGAGCCGTGTGGCTATGTGTTGTACTCTTTCGAGCTTGTGTATCTCGCCTTTCGTCAACGGACAGTAGGCGGGTGAGCCGTGTTCTAGTACCGGTCCTACAATGGATGTGAAGAGACGAGTGGCAATCTCTTTCGACCAGGTGCAGAAGCTACGTTTCAGCGCCCACAGCGAACGCAATGCTGTGCGATACATATTGTCCGTGTTGTCCAGTGACTTCATGTCGTAACGTTGTATAACGCCAAGGTCTCTGACGCAATGCGTCGGGTGTAGAACTTGACCGTCGAGAGTGTACGATCGGCCCGCTCCACCTTTACCGAGGCACAGAAGTAGCGATTTTGCCGAGTTGATAGGCAAACTTACTTCGGCGGACCACATGGAGAGGCGGTCGAGGTCCTGCTGAAGTATGCCAAGTCGTCCGACGTATGGATCACCCTCCATAGCTTCAGGTCATCCGCGAACAAGGCACACGGCGACCGAAGGAGATTGGGCACGTCGTTGATGTGAATCAGGAAGAGAATGGGGCCAAGCACCGTCCCCTGAGGAACGCCGCTCGTCGACGGGTACCAGTCGGTCAGGTGGCTGTCGACTTGCACCCTCCACTTCCGTCCAACTAAGAAGTCACGGATCCATTGATGCAGCGAGCCTCCGACTCCGCACTCCCTCAGTTTCTGAAGGAGGATCTCGTGATTCACTCTGTCGAAGGCCTTACTGAAATCGATGTATACCACGTCGACTGACTTACGTTGGTTTACTGCTTGCAACCATTCATGCCATGTTAGCAGCAGGTTAGTGATGCACGAGCGGCCTCTCACGAAACCATGCTGTGCAGGCGTCAGGAGAGAGTTGGTCTCCAGTAGCTGGAGCAGTCTCTTCTTCACAATCTTTTCCAGAACTTTCGACAATACTGCGGTCAAACAGAAAACCACCGATGTGGTAAGCACCGAAAGGTTTCTGATCACCGATCGGGAGAACACAGCACTTATCACGATTGATAGGCATTTGCCACTTGACCGACCAATCGTGCAGCAGATCGAGCGTCAGCTGCAACCTGTCAGCATCTTCAAGCCTGGATACTTCCGACCAAAGTTTAAGATCATCAGCATAGATCAAGCAGTCTATTTGGAGCACCTCCGGGAGATCGTTGATGAAGATTTTGAATAGTTCTGGACCAAGTACGGAGCCTTGTGGAACCCCACTGGTCATAAGAACAGGAACGGAGTCGACTTCGTTAACTCTCACCTTCATACTACAGTTATCTAGGAAATCCGCGATCCAGGCGAGCAACTTACCAGCGATGCCAATCTGCCGAAGTTTTCTAAGAAGTCGCTTGTGTGGAACCCTATCAAACACCTTGCTAAAATCCACAAAAACTACATCAAGTCGATGACCAGCATCCACTGACTGCGCCCATTTTTCTCGGGCAACAAGCAGATTGGTAATGCAAGAGCGTGCCCTTCGAAATCCGTGCTGAGCAGGAGAGATGACGTCCAATTTCTCAAGGTGAAGATGCAAGGCCTGTTCCAAAATCCTTTCCATGGTTTTACAGAGGATTGATGACAGGCAAATCGGTCGGTAGTTCACTGGATCTTGGCGATTCCCACCTTTGTACATGGGTTTCACGACATTTGCTTTCCATTTAGTTGGGAGACGACCTGCTTCAAGTGAGCTACGAAATACTTGACAAATTGGTGCAGCAATGAACTCCGCCACCTCTTTGAGGAACACGGGATGCAAGCCATCGGGACCCGGTGAAGAATTCGAGTTCAAGTCAAGAAGCAGTTCCAATACTCTATCAGCGGTAATTTCAACATGCTCTAATGGAGAGGGGTGATAGGAAGTGTCCTCAACAGCTAATGGCGCCTCCGTCGTATACACAGAAGAGTATTGCGACGCTAGTAGACAAGCTTTCGCCATGTCATCATGAAGCATGGTGTCCTCTTTGCTTGAATACAGTGCGGGTATACCGTTGTCAGCTTTGGTGCTTCTTTTTAAGTATGCGAAAAGCTTTTTCGGATTAACCACAGATTGCTCGGCCAGATGCTGCTCATATAATTCTCGCTTCTCGCGCTTTCTCAGGGTACATAAATTTCTAGCCTCTTTGTAATGCGCGTAATCTGGTGCCGTCTGAGAGAACTTGAACCGGCCCCAAAGTTTCCGCCTTCTCATCATGAGCGATTTCATTTCCCGGTCATCCCATGAAGCTAAACAAGCCGCGTTCTGACCGGAGCAGGGCGGAAACTCGGTTATCGCGTAGAGTTGTCGAGCGCTGAAACTCGCTTCCAGAAAGTGTAATCAGTGAACCTACGGTTAAGGGTTTCGAGCGTCAGTTAGACGCTCTTGGGTGGCAACACGAAACCTTTCCCTTCTCCTGACCATATCCATCTTCAAAATTTTAGTTCTTATTCTGTCATTCTCTTCACTCTGTGTTGTTATCCTTCATTTTCGTGACTTTCATTCCCTTTTATCTTCCATTTACTTCTACTTTCTTACTTCACGTAACCTACACAGCGCGGGCTGCTAGTGCAGGGAACGTGGGCATTAATTGGTTGGTCAGGGTGTTTCGTTTTAGATCTATCAAGAACTAGCACCTTATTAGTTCCTGGATCAACGATTTGCTCAAGAAGGAACAATCAAGGGATTTTCCCATCGTTCCAGTCCATCTGAATCTAAATGGGCGCCCGAGTGGCAAAAGTTGTGTCACTCATCAGGCGCTCACCGATAAAAATTGAGCGAGTCCGTCTTCGAACACTTCTTTTGCCACGGATTATGCTCCCTATATGTGTGAAATTGCCGCATTAACTCCTCTTCCACTACCACTAACTACACGTTATTGCAATTACACTGGCGAAATCTATCTCTCTAGACAGCGGCACATCAGCCCTTTGAAATGGTGCTTCGCTGTCACACAACCATAACGGCCTGCGGAATGAAGAATAATACGAGGGAGAGAAGGGGAATTTGCCGGAAAATCTTACTGCCCTTAGCAAACATTCAGGGTCAAGGCGCCTACACCTTTTCAACAATATAGCATCACAAGCAGCTGGCTAGCGTGGAAAGATAAAGCGGCATTGGTGAGACAGCTTCCTTGCAGCTTTCACTGTTCCGCGTCATAACCAGCCATTACTATGCAGATAATTCAGCACAAAACACACTTTACGCAGGCAGTCCGACTAGGAGAAGACAGCAACGCACCACTGGTATCGACGGCGAACCTTATCCTGTAAAGTCTCGATACATGCACAAGGCGCGTCACGTGGACTACAGTCTAAAAGACGAGACGGACCGACTTCACAGAGTTTATTCGACAGTGACTTCGTTTTCCGCTGCCAAGTCAACTTCCGTCCACCTTGCGCTCTTTTACATCTGCAGACAAAACGAGCCACTGTTCGGTAAGCAGTGATCGGGCATACTTCGTCGTGCCCAAGCCAACGCAACTTATACAGTGCTATCTTTTCTACGAAACTTGTTTGCTTAACACTGCCTAGCACTCGCCTACCAACATCATCGTTGCGGACTTGCTTGTGCCACCCGACCCTAGTAGTGTTCCGCAGGCAACCATGGTCGAAGACTTGAAGGCGCCTCGGATTTTCAGACCGAAGGGGCCAAATCTCACTACCATAGAGATGGGCGGCCCTCATTGTTGCCTTGTAAACACGGCTTTTCAAACGGAGGGAAACTCCTTTATGATGCCAGTGTCGCAGATTCAGAAGGCAGTTCTGGCGAAATGCACTATGCGTAGCGACAACCTTATGTTATGCAGTGCAAGTAATTTACCGGCTAGAGTCTTGCTGCGCAAACCACTCTGTCTTGTTTTTTAGCCATGTTTCCCACCTTTTAATTGTATGTTATTGTTTTCCTTCATCTGTACATAAGGTAACGTTTTACGATCACCCTATGATTGTCCGACATCTGGTGTTGGCTAATTATAGGTTATACTGAAAAGTTGGGAACTTTCGGATCTGTTGAAGGTTAGCCGACGCGAGATCACTGTCATTATGAAGGGGTTAGATATTTATGCACCTTGTCGCGAGAAGCGGCAACGGTATTAGCTTGACGTGGCTGAATAAGCCATCATGGTTTCCAAACAATGTGTCTCGTGCCTGGAAAGAAGCACCAAAGCTGACATTACCATGTCTGCTCTGCTTTTTGGGTTTGCATTTTTCCTTTATGTACTTGACAAAGTTACTGCTGACTAGTTATGATGTACCCAATCTCCGTCTGTTTTGGAGCACATCGAAACTAAACTGGCACAGCATTGGCACTTCTCTATTTGGATCAAACTTCTTTGTCTGGTAGTGGTGACTTCCACCCTGTGTTCGTCAAGACGGTAGCGGAATTCATCGCTGCCTTTCTAGGGGAGAATTGGAGAGAGAGCTGCAACAGTTCTCCCAACTCAAGGTAGATTGCTTGACGCGAAGTCATAATTAAGATCCGTTAAAAGATAGGAGGCTCTCGATTCGCTCCATTGTCACAATCAAACGGGTCGTGAATGAATGGAGGGATCTTGCGGGATGCATTATTAGTGCCTATGCAGAGGAATCTTTCAGACAACGGTTTGATAACCACAAGCTCAGCACATCTAGATTGCAGTGTTTGGCTACCACTTTAAACGCTCATCAGAGAACACCATCTCACAACGGTATGTATTATGTAATCAACAAACGTGAGTTGATAGGGCTGACATGGCTCTTCTACTCTATCAATCTCTGGACCCTATGTGACATACCTGTTTTCCTATTGTCTAAAGGAACTGTACGAGTCGGCTGTTTTGAGTCGTAAACATTTCTGGATGCACCAAAAGAATCCATCGGATTTACCCTGAATATCCCCATATTTGGTAGCTGTTCTTCCAACACGTTTATAGGCAACGAATCTAATTCGACCGGAATCCCACACCTAGGGGCCAGAGTAACACCAGCAGCATGTGTTTATTTGAGGCAACTAGACTTGAAGGGACATTCCCACAATATTGTTTCTTAGTCCCACCTTACGTACTATTAGTTGCTTTCATCAGCGGTGCGCTTATCACTCTTGGGTCACCAGGCGGTATCGGCTGCTTCAGCAAGCGAACGTGAATGTGGAGTTGTTTTGATTTTGACGCGATACATTGAAAGCCCCAGGATGGGTGTCTCCTTACCGCCCCCCTTTCTTCATGCCTTAGCTAACTTTTTGTGACCAGCTAACCTTGGCAGAGTGCAGATACCTTGGTCTTACATTTTGCTGAAGCTATCAAGGCTCTCATTTACTCCTCTCTGTCATTTCCCTGCTCACCGCTGTTAATTATACGCATTGTATGACAGCGGTGCGTCAGGGCTGAGTACTTCTATCCTGTTGTTGTTTCTGTTATCGCCGTTTATCACGGTACAGATCTAGTAGGCGCGAGTTAATCGTGGGTTGTCCTTACCCTCTAAGCTACGGGCATTCCGAAGTAGTCGATGGGAGAATTATGGGATCTTTTAAATAAGTAAACTACTACATGTCTGTCGACTGATTCACTCGATCGAACGCGGAGGGTCACGGTTGCTTGCTTATTCGCAACATGTTTTTCTGCTGTTGTTACTAAGTTTACCTAACCTTTACCGTGGCAAAACCTCTTCGATCACTTGTTCTAATATCCTAAATACGTATTAGTAGCCTGATAAAGGTTTCTGCTTAACGTTGTCAGCCTGAAACGACCGTTCTCTTTTCTAGTTTGAAACAAGTCTTGCATTTACACTCTTCATTGCTACATTTATTCTTGAATTGTATACGAGCTTCTGGTCACATGCGTCAAAAGACAACTTGAGTTGCTTTTGAGTACTTGGGTTACTCATATAATCTGGTTTTTGTTTTTCAGCATGACGCTACATAGTTCACGGGTGAGGCGTCCTTTGAGTCTCTGTATTCTAAGACCGAAGCCCGAGCCAACAGACACATATTCGTCAGCAGCATCTCCAAACGGGGAAACGATCAATGCCTTCCCGAGTCTTCAGAAGAATGACGAATTAGATTCCAAGGCTCAGTACGCTTCCGAGCAGTTGTTGAAAACTGAACAAGAGGCTTCTGTGAGCCCTTCGGACGAAAGTTGCAGATTTGCGATTGGGACAGTCACGCCACCCTCCGTTACTCAGCAAGGTATTCAACAGTAGACACACATACGTAATTATACCGCAGTTTCACCCCTTGCTCATTGTCATACTATTTGTAGCTTGCACCTGCATATAGATGAAGGCCTTAGGACGGAGAACTGCAGCCAGACGAGTAGAGTTCAACCGTGCGAGTTTCTGCCTTGTTAACGAGTGTTCCCACTTAGGCATGCTCGTGGTTCTAGAATCGAATAAAACTTTAGCTCCAATTACTGTTGTTGAACTTGGCGGACTAAACTCGGGAGTGCCACAATAGTGCATGAGCCGATAAAGCTGGCAGAAACATCCACTCCGAGCAAGCGAGTCTTGCTAGGGGTTCAAAGAAGGTGCACGTAACTGGGGATTATTAGAAGACACTCGAGAGTGAATGAAAATGTGGGCGAGGGATGGGATCGTCCTTTGGTTCACCAAATGTATTTCTAGGTCTTCAACTTCGGATATGGCATAGGGACCTAGGTCCATGGAGAGCGGTCGTGGCTGGAGATTGTATGGGGTGTGTGACGTCGTGACTAAACAAGCTAACTACGTAGCAGGTGGAATTGTCCGGATGTTCTGTAAACTTTAATTGTGTGAGTATTTAGTAATCGGGATGATGAGACTAGCAATGGTACCATAGGTTACAAGGCTCGACGATCTATTGAGCTAACCTGGCTCCGTTTTTTTATTTTCTATGTCAATGGTTAGGGGCCGGACAAACACAGTCTCCTGGCCCTGCAGGTTGGGGACTGGGGTGATAATGGTTCCTTACTACGTAAAACGGACTCTGTAGCTGTCCCAAAAACCCGCTGCGTTGCGGTTCGGTTTTTTGAGTCAAAAGCTTTAGATGAGTACCCTAATTATACTCCGGGTAAGCTGACATTATCTTGCCCTTGCAATGCAATGTATATCTCTTCAAACAACTCCCTGTTGCCCTTGTGTCACCCTTTTGTATGGACTATCTGAAACTGGACGGGGAAACAATAGCCCTCATAAGCAATAGCACTACGAACGTGCGCGAGTATAGGTCGTATGTAAGAATAACAACCATAATCCTCTACTTTTGGAAAATCGCACGTTCACTTATAAACAACCAATACGACTGTCGGTGGTTAGTTAACGTTTGCACGTACACATAAATAACAGCCTTATATGTACTCAGAAGTCTGAGCATCAACAATAGATAGAGGCAGATAAAGGAATAGGGAAGCAAATGCCATCAATGCGGTTACCAGGTGGAATGATGCATGAGTAATAGGTACCGTAAAACAAGTGATGACTTACGGTTAGTGTGCACTGTAGATACGGTCTACTATATGCGTTAGTAGGCGATAATATGGCCTCTTTGACGCTGTCACATGAATAACGCATCTCGTATATATATATATATATATATATATATATATATGTATATAGTCGAACCGAAGATTACATTACCAGGACATGAACAATGCGAGTTTGTCACGGACTAATGCAGAAATCAACCGTTTGCTGTAAAAACCTTACTTGGCTAGACTTTACTTGGGCCAATAGGAGCATGCAAATCTTTCACCAATTTCTTACATTACTCCCTAATCAACCAACCGACAATTGAAGAACAGCTGGATTGGTCGTCCAACGGTGAGTTTGCACATGTGGACTCAGCAAATCATGAGTCTTCAGCGGAAGATAAGGCTGCATTGTTTGCGCAGAATTCCTTGCATTTTGTGATCGATCTTACCTGGCGAAACTCGCAGGTATAGATGCCAAATAACTATGAGATGGCTTTGCAGTGGTTAAAAGGTTTGCGAAAACGTCTGAAAGCCAACTAATCTTTCCGTGGGCGGTACTCGGCGGTCATAGAGGATATTATTAGTAACGAGCATGCCGTGCCTGTTCCATCGAATCAGTTGGAGCTTAGCAATGCTCCCAAGTGTTATATACCCCATCATATTGTGATAAAATCCAAAAAAATTTTATACGCTAAGGGTCGTATTCACTTGCGGTGCTAAATACATGGATCCCTCTTTGAACGATCAGTTATTACAAAGCACATCTAGTTTTATAGGAACCTTGATGCAATTCGGAAACGATAGAGTCGCAGTTGTTACGGACATGGAGATGTTGGTGCAATTGAAGGTTCCAGAGAAGGATCGCGGTGCTTTGCCTTTCCTAGGGGGCAGACGAAGTAATAATTGCGACTCTAATACGTTGAATTATCAAATGACCGCTCACCCATTTGGAGGGATTTCCTCCCCTTTTGTGTTGCTTTTGCTTTACCTCAGGCAGCGGAGGAGTGGAGAAATCGATATGATAGACTGTGTCAAATGCCATCATAAATGGATTTTGTGATGACGACTTTGGTTTCATTGTCTTCTATTCCTGAAGCCGTCCAGTTTGTTGTTTCGATTCGGGAACTGCTTGGTATGGCAATGTTTAAGCTTCGAAAGTGGGAATCCAGCAGCCCTGGGATGCTTCTAGCGATGCCATCTACTGAGCTCTCAAACTTCATTACCCCGCTTGGCGAAGCCAAACTGGTACGTCGCACGTTAGGTATAGTATGGAACTCGGTGGATGACACATTCCTGTTCCGATTCGACCTAATGGATGGGCCAAAGACGAGGAGATCAATTTTGTCTGTGATATCTTCCTTATACGACGCCCTCGGATTAGTTACTCCTAGAACCATAGCCACACAGTTACTGCAGCCGAAACTGTGCATAGAAGAACTCGGTTAGAACCAGCCAGTCGAGATAACAGACTTTCGTGGTCAAGAAGCTCTTACGCCAAATGCTATGCTATTACTTGTACCAAATGCAACAACGTTCGCGCCAGCGACACTGTGTAACCGGTATGCTCGATGTTGGAAACGAATGAACTATTTAGCCATGTTATGTTGGAAAAGGTGGAGCAACGAATACGGCACCCTAATGCATACTAAACAGAATGGCTTAAACCGCACTGCAACTTTAGACCCGGAGTATTCTCGAATGCGCTCAATCGTGATAGTAAGCCGTTGGTGGTGATAGAGAGTTGCAAAACATCCAAGGACGGATCAATACGAACCGTAATGGTTAGAATGAAAGGGGCGTATATGAGCCCCGATGTCAGAAAGATATGCCTCATAGATGGCAGCGAATGGGAAAAAGGATTCACTCCCGGCTGTTGTCTCTTCGCACGTGGCAGGTGCATTTTCGTCCAGCCGCTTCGGGGAAGACCACTGTGAGCCCATCATGCCCAAGCGGGAGAGTGCAGGCGTATCGTTGTAACCCCTGTACTTCTCCCAGAGCGAATGGAGCAGGCGAGGGGGAACCAGAATACATCGAAATCCAGAAGAAACCGGCCGGCAGTGTAGAAGATTCCCAAATGTCCTATTCTCTGCTGCCTTCCTACCGCTCCGTGCTTCACGCCTTTTATTCCCTTTACCCAACTCCTTCCCCTGTCCCAACCGATCTTTAGTATCTGGCTCTCAATGGAGATTGTGTTCCGTGCCGAGTTAATTAGATATATTTGCACTTTAAACAAGTAGGTGACCTGCATTCCACCATGCATGCATTGACCTACATTTCCAACTTCTGAACAGATCTAGTTGTCGTTTCCTGTGGCTTCGCTTGATGTTATCATTTTGTGATGTTTCGTTTTAACTCCCTCGCCGTCGCATTCGGATACTGGCGAGCAAGACATTCCTCACATCGCATGTGGCCTGACGATGTTGCGAGATCGTGTAAGTAGAGTTCACATACATGAAACCATCTCATCCGTGAGGACAATTGTAGATGTTACTATATGTGAAGTTGGAAGACTTGCAATACCATC